CGTGCTGCATACGGTCGGATTTAATGCCATGCCACAGCAGGTAGAGCCGAGCGTGACGCGGAATGTGGCCCTGCATAGCAGCTCATATCGCATCTGGCGTTTCCTGCCGGAGCAGCTGAGCACCGATCAAATCCTGTGCTTCCAGGAGATTACCCTGCTACACGCTGGCCAACTGCAGCCGGCTCTGCTGTTCCTGACATCCTCCGTGCTGGTCATTATGGAGCTCAAGTGCGACGATCTGAAGTTCATTTCACCCGTGCTCAAGGTGGAGCTGCTGGCGGATCGCGACGATCCATCTAAACTGTATCTGAGCCTGAAGCCCGAACAAGCCGACGACATGCAGGGCGTAAGCATTCCGAAGGGGCAAATCTTTTGTCTTATGTACATTAATCCTTTTCCTTCTCCTTGCAGCAGATGAAGTACACCAACGAGCGCATCATTAGCTTCCTGAACGCATCCCGTGCCCACGGGCCGACCAGCGATTCGTTAAGCGATCTGCTGCAGCTGCATGAACACGACCAGGACCAAAACGACCACGACGCTCGCCGCCAGACGCAGTGCATCTTCTACATTAGACCCAACCTGGGCGAGCATTTAATACACTACCTGAAGGTTATCAGCCAAACCCGATAAAGCTAAAGTGGGCGACCCTGTACAGAATGTATTGTTAACTAGATGCATATTTGTACATAATATTTATTCTAATATAGTCTACGTGCATCCGTGTTTCGTGCATCATATTCCCACAAGTGATTCTGACTCCGACTCTGTACACTTAAAACCAAAAAAAAAAAAAAAAAAACAAATAAGACAATTAAGCAACCTATTTTTGTTACCTTTTTGACTGGTTGCACTTTTTGCAATAAAAAACATAATTTCTTAATATTATTATATTTGTAAACAAAAACTCGTTCTTATATCGGTTCGTGAGCCTAGTTTTGGATCGAACCTTATTAGTAATTGCTCGTAGTACTTTAGCTCGGTTTCGTAATGATATATGAATATATTTACCAGCTCAATTAACTTGTTGATGGCTCGACCTTAAGCCTTCGTTTGGTCCGATTTTCAAGTTCACATTAAAGAATTCTTTACGTTTACTATGTAATTATAAAAATAATTGCAAGCTTCAAAAGCGTTATGTCTTAAAAAATTACAATGAAATTGTCTTAAATGTGCGGAATACTGATGTCAGATTTAACTTGTGCTTGTTTATGCTTGCATGTCGAATCGCGAGTTATTGAAAAGTTTAGAGCAGGATGTCCTCTTGGAATTTCCGCTCACGTGCGCCAAGGACAACGTTTTCCTGCCGTGGTACATTAAGCGTGCCGCAAAACTCAATTTAATCAAACTGATTTTAGCTAAGACCAGCGGTAAGCGAGCAACGAAACTATGTGGCCGACCAGCGCACAAATACCAACAAAATGTCCAGGACACGGGCGAACCCTGGATGCAAGTGCACTGCGAGGAGGCTGTCAAGACCTTCACTCGCCGCATCGTAAGTAGAGCCCAGAACAACAACCAAGCAAGAGGACTCTCACCTCGCCGTAAGTAGTCGACTAGGGGATGCCAAAGACAATATCAAAATGGGATCGAAAATGAAATCGTTATCATTTGCCCTCTCACAACTGAAATCGTAAAGTATATAAATTGAATTTACTCTCAGCTTCGGCTCTCTCAAAAACAATATAGACACTAAGGTAAATAACGCCATAACACAAAATTCTACTATGCAGCATGCATTTTTGAAAATTGAGAACGAAAATTGGCCATATCTGTAATTTTAAGTATAATTTTTTCCCTCTATACCTAAACCCTTAAAAATGTACGAATCTGGACGCTTTCATACAGATGGTCAGCAGTCGTCGTGGCTTACCATGGAAATTCATTGTGTACAGGGTATAAAACAATAACAAAAGCAGCAAAACCATAAAATTTACTTGGCGCCAACCGCGGCAGCAAATTGCTTCGCATTTTTTCGCTTAAAATATAATTTGCTTGGTGGTTGGGTGCATGGCTTCGCTACACGCGGCTGCATAGCCAAAGGATTCAATTATATTATGGCCACCACCTGCCCAAAACCACAGCATCATACTCTCATATGGTGGACTCTGTGTGTGTGTGTGTGTGTGGGACTGTGCGTGTGTGTGCTTGTGGGCATCTGCTGCATGCATGCGGGCACATTATTCATACTAAAAAGTCTGCAATAAGCTGACCTATTTAATGTACTATAAATAAACATTGCCTACAATAGAATCCGTATAAGGATATTAGATATAAGGCCATCAATTGTTCTTTAAGATATGTGCACTTTACGACTTGTTTTGGCTTTCGCAGCAAAGTTTTGCCTTTGTTTTCCGGTTCCGCCTCAGCAAATGTGTCTATGTGTGTGTTCGTTTGCGTGCGTGTGTATTGTGCACTTGCGTTGCTCTTAAAAGTAGGCAACGAATTGTGTCAGGCACAGACGTTTTCCTTTGCCTTTGACTGCGCTGGGTGCATGCGGTGAGTGGGCGTAGCTGCTCTTACCTTCGGATGCAGAACTACACCCAGACAGATCCCTCAACCGTGGGAGCTTTATGAGGTAATGTATCTATTGAGGCATTTTAAGATCTGCGTTTCAATCTATATCTTTTCCCAAAATGTTTTTATTCATTACATTCCATTACTTTGATTATTAATGATTACCATTTATATTTAATGCATATACCTTAAATTTATACATTCTTTTAAAGAGTTCTTAATCCCCTCTCCATATTCGCTCTGCCATAGTTATCGATCGCTGATTATCGATAATTCCTTATTATTAGTAATAAACTTGTGTCCTATTCATCCATCTTATATTACTCATCATTTGTCTTTTGACAATCTATCTTATACTATTCCCCATCTGTCTTTTGACAATCTATCTTATACTACTCTCCATCTGCTTTTTGACAATTTATCTTATACTAGTCTCCATTTGTCTTTTGACAATCTATCTTATACAACTATTCATCTGTCTTTTGACAATATATCTTATAATATTCTCCATTTGTCTTTTAACAATCTACCTTATACTACTCTCCATCTGTCTTTTGAAACCTATCTTATACTATTCCCCATTTGTCTTTTGACTCTCCATCTGCTTTTTGGCAATATATCTTATACTAGTCTCCATCTGTCTCTTGACAATCTATCTTATACTACTCTCTGTTTGTTGACAAACTTTGCAAACTTTAAGGATTTTCAACTGACTAAACAACTTTATGAACTATCAAAACCAACTAACTCTTGTCCTGCAAGTGCAGTATTTATTGAATTTCGAAATGTTAGATTTATGGGTCAACTAATGCATTTGTAACTGCAAATGAAAATCACTTCGAGCAGAAATTATAAACGTTATTATGCATTTAGTGTGCTTCCAGGCGAACGAGTTGCATAAACATAATTACCTCCGTGCTGTCAATCAATTATTTATGGCAGCTGGTTAACTGCTATGAAAAGCAGGATATACTCTACATGAGCTGCAGAATCAAAGGGTATTAGAACCCATGAACATGATGATTTATCATTTTTTTTTTGACATAAGTGCAAGAGTTTTGTTCATATATTTTTTTTTAACTTTATACAATAACGCGGAGGAATCGCTATATGCGGCACACCTTTCCAAACAATTTTCCATACAAGAACATAATTTTCGACCGATCGTTCCTATGGCATATATGATGTGATATGGTCCGATCCAGTCGGTTTCGACATATGTACGCGCAACAGAAAGAGAAAGAGAGAAACAAACAGACGGACAGAAATATATATGCTTAATGGGGTCGAAGATGTATCATATGCGTTAACAACAAAATTATCATACCCTCTGCAAGGGTATAAATATACATACATATATATTTCTGCGTGCGTCTATGTATTAGGGAAAGTAAATAAGGTACATGATGGCATGGAGTGGAAATTCATGAGGGGGGCATCGCAGCATTTGGGTACATTGTGCACATCTATGCAAATATTAGTGGCACAGGCCTCAAGCGATTTAAAAGGCGCCCAATGCGAGATTTTCCGGCACAGATGCTAAATTACTTTGACATATACACACACACACACCCCTCCACACACACGCGCACATAAAGCAAATAAAGGCAAATGCAATTTTCTCCAGAATTGTAACTTATGAAAAATTGATACGGCAACAACAAAAAATACGGCTCGAAGGTACGTAAATAAATGTATGTATGTGTACATGTATGAATGTATGCATGTATGTATCTATGTATGTACGCATGTACGTACGCATGTGTGTATGCATGTATGTATGCATGTACGTGTACATGAATGTATGTGTGTATGTATGCATGTGTGCATGTATCTATGCAAGTATGTATTCTTGTATGTATGTATGTATGAATCTATACATGCATGTTTGTATGCATGTATGCATGTATGTAAGCGTGTATGTATGCATGTATACGTGTATGTATGCATGTATATACGTATGTATGCATGCACGGATGTACATACATAGAATGTACGTATGTGCGCGTGCTGTCAGACTTTTCCTCGGCATATGAATGCAACCGTGCCTGCCATACTTCACGTCTAACGGACGCCACAGGCCAACCGGGATATATCTATTTGCATACAATTTTTCCAGCTTTCCATCTTGCCCCGAAGAGCAGTTAACGGACAGGGATTTTTATACCCTGAACCCATTAAAATGGGTATAAGGGTATATTGTATTTGTGCAAAAAGGCAGAAGGAAGCATCTTCGACCCCATAAAGTATATATATTCTTGATCAACACCAATAGCCGAGTCGATCTAGCCATGTCCGTGTGTCTGTCTGTCTGTCCGTCCGTCCGTATGAATGAGGGTTCAGGGTATCCCCTAGTCGGGTGCTCCCGACTAGAACCTCTTACTTGTTATTAATCTGTTGCTCTGGATCCGGTTGTTGTGCGTGAGTTTCAGAAATTTGTGTGCAAGTTTTTTTCCTATTTGGATATTTAATGCTGAAAACGCTTTGGATTTTGAGTAAGACGCTTTATTCACAATTCACAGAGGCTGAGACATACTTAAATATATACATAAATATTTTTATATATTTACACAATAATCTTTGATAAATCAAATCAACATGAATATTTATTTTCGGTATGCCGACGATTAAATACTCTATCCTATCAAATTTTCATTATATTTTTAGACTAGACACAAAATTCAAATTTTAACTGACTTTAGTAATTAGAATATACTATATAATATTTTTCGACTTGTTTTTTTCGATAGTTTTTGACCTGGTTTTTCTGTTTGGTTAATATGATATGAACTTTGTTTTCAACCGTCTGTTCTTGGATAATAGAGCTACATAATATATTTACCTAATTTTCATCAAGCATTAATGCAGACAGACGTAGTTCGCCAGATCGAACAGAATAGGAATATATATTTGTCTGGGAATTGTTACACATCGCGTGATTAAATTGGATTACCCTATGGAAGGGTACATATATTTAATTTTCAATTCTTCTACACGAATTATACACTTAATCTTATATACAAGGGGTATGGGGAGAAGTCTTCATATGCTTCATATGACTTTGTAGCATGCATACATACATATAGTTTAATACATCATATATTTGTGTCATGCATACATACATATTGTTACATACATCATATATCATTTACACACTTAGATCATCAAAATTGTAACTAGACTTGGGCTTAACAAGCGACAATTTGCATTTAGTGAAGCCACAATGAATATTTGTAAGACGATAGGAAAAGCGGAGGAGAGGTCCAACTTTACAAAGTATTTTTCCAAATTTTACAAATAGAAGCCATAAGCTGAATTTTCAAGCAAAGAAGGAGAAGGGAAAGGGAAATATTCTTTGCTACGAACAGCGTTCATGACAATTCTGTAAAAATTGGGAAAACATTTTTAAGCTGAAACTCGAATCATCTTAAAGCTGAGAGTCGAATCAACTGGAAGCTGAGACTCGAATCAATTTGAAGTCAAGACTCGAATTAACTCGAAGCTGAGACTTGAATCAACTTATATCCTATACGTTGATATATAGAAGCTAGTTGTAGGTCTATCCATCTTTTATTCTTGCTTAGTCTAAATTCGAGAGATAGTGAGAAGAGGAAACCTACAGCCAGGTCTTGTCATCAGCTGCAGATGTATTGATGCCTCGTCGATAGTCGTTGTTGGAGCTGCAGACGAGTTGCATCTGGAGCTCCACGTTCTCCGGGGATGCGGCCTGTCAGGAGAGCAGCTGCGTGGTGCGACATTCCGTAGTCGAGTTCAGGGAATTGCTTGACTTGTCGCCGCTCCACCGTTCCTGCATTTCCTGCTGATAGGACGATCTCTGGCCACGCCGGCTGCTGCTCAGCTGCTGCACGGGCAGCGACCGCGGCGGAACACCTGCAACGGAGTAGGAGTAGGAAAAAGCGTGGCTAAGTGACAAATCTTTTCCACTTAAGGAGTCGTCCTTACCACAGTGCGAGACGCGTTGCGACTTGGGCGAGCTGGGGCAGGCATAGAGTATGGACTTCTGCGTGTCTGTAACGCAAAATTTATATGTTTTAAAGAGCGAGGATTAATCTTTGGCTGCATACCATTCCGTTTGATGCGATTGTGATCCGGCGAGCCGGAGCAGGAGTAGCGCGAGGTAAGATTCTCGCGACGGTTTAGCGACTCGGCGCCCACGTTCACGAAAGGACACCAGCGGAAAACCATTTTGAAGCCATAGCGGAAACTGAAAATGGAAAATGAAAAAAGGAAATATGAAAATTAAAAGTGCAAAATTTAGCTTGTTCGACAAGCCAACCAACTGGCTGTTCATGAAAACCATGTGGACTAAGTGCATGTTAAAATGAAATTTCTCGACAGCCTTTCTATGCAATTCTCAGTTTAATTGGTAGCACATCGTAATCTGTAACGCATGCAACTCGGTTATGTCAGACGTCTAACAGTCTGTCTTTTCTAATCCTATCGTTTGTCATAAATTTTCAGTTGCCTTTTTCTCTTTTGTTGCTCTGCATTTGTTCTCGATATCCTGTGTACATTGATGATGGCCTGCAGCGGGCATCTCCGACCAAGACAACAGCTTGGATTTGGTGAAAAATATGAAACACCTATCAAATCAATCCATTTGTAACATACGAAAAATTGAGTTTGTTTATGAGCAATATTCATATAACATTTTTTACATTTATTACATTTAAAACATATCGTAAAAAAAACCTTTGCTTAGACTCGTATTACTTAGTCGCATAACAAGGCATCAGCTAGTCGACTACACTCGGGTTCATCTCCCTTATTTATTTTCTACGAACTATGCAAGCATTTTCCTTTCCCACCCCCTGTCATGGCCAGAGAATCTTTGGCATATGAATGATTGGGTAGCTAACCAAGCCTTGAAACACGTCAAGGCGCTTGATTTATGTTTCAGTATTTCAGTTCGTTCGGGTCTTTATTTCGTATTCCTACGGATCGACACGGAACGACAACCTGTTAAAGGCGCCTGCAATAATAATAAAAAACACCTTCATAGTCGACATCATTTACATAAGGGCGTCGCCGAGCGACGAAGGGTTCTGCTCTGGACGGGACGGGAAATGAGCCGTAGTTACACATGTCGGATTCTTGGCGCTAAAGTTGTACATGCACGTAGTACCCAATTCCCGCGTCTCCCCCCTCATCACCCCTGGTCGCTGGCAATAGTCATTGGCATGTTGACTGGGCGAAATTAATTGCAATCAGTTACGCTTCCCCTTTTGGCGGATGTGGCCCACGGACGCGACAACATCAACAGTCAATTTGTGCAAACGTAACGAACATAGTTCACTGTACATACATATGTCCATATATGTCTATTTGTGCGTATAAGTATGTGCATGCGATAAATGCGAGGGCACAGGCTGGTTGGAGCGAGGCTGGTTCTATATATAAAAGTTTGTCTAGTAGGTAGAGTCCCAAAACATGGAAAGCGTCGTAAGATATAATGAACTCTTGAACAAATTCTCAAAAAAAACAAACTTGAATTTTAATAAACAGTTTTAGTTGCATGTAATTTTCTTTTAAGTTAGGTTAGGTTAGGGTTGAGGTAAGTAAGGTTAGGTTAGGTTATGTTAGGTTAGGTTATGGTGTGGTTACGTCATAAATAGGCATACGTCCGAAATATGGAACATTCAATTAATTAAAAATATTTTAATAATATATTTATATTTACTTATATTAGGTAAGGTAACCTAACCTAACCTAACCTAAAGAAAGTGAGATTAGATGCATATACATAAATAGAAATATTTGAAGAATTTATTATTGATTTTAGGTTAGGTTATGGTTAGGTTAGGTCAGTTTATGGATAGTATATGGTTAGGTTTGCTTTGGTTCGCTTTTTTCATATGTACCCATTCGTCCGGTACACTCAACCTGCATATAATTAAAAATATTTAAAGCATTGGTATGAGCCGCCCTCGTATATGCTGTTGCGAAAGTTAATGCTAATGTCAATGGCGCGCATGATATTGATGTTAATCGCGACATTGATAATGATGATGATGGACGGCTTCATTTCCGGATAACAAGCTAAACGACCAACTGGCTAAGTGATGTACCCGAAGCCAGCGGCGAGGACTGAGTCAAAGGAACGACCCTCGACGCAAATTACATAATTTGTTGCGGTTGCGTTTGCGATTGTGGGGGCGTGTGCTAGAACTTATGGAGTAGCACTCACCGGGAATTCATCCAGCAGTATATAATCGGGTTGTACATAGAATTGCTCATGGCCAGCCAGTAGATAACCAAATATAGCTCCTGAATGAATGGCGCCTCGGTAATAGCCGGATAACAGGATGTGACGATGAAGTACGTGTGGAAGGGCAGCCAGCAGAAGCCGAATATCAGAACGACCACAATCATCATCTTGACCACCTGAGCGGAAAATTGAAAGTCAAAATATGAAATATACTCGCATAATAAATTGAGACTTAATGTTAAACAATAAGTAAATGAAGCGATTAGAATGAAAGAAAAGAAAACGTAGCATACTTTTTGGGGCAAAGTTCAAATTAATGCTGGTGCATGTATTTTTACGACCCTGCACTCAGCCTTCGCTTGCTCCGCACATTTTAAAATTAGAATTCAAAATATGAAATATATTCGCATAAAAATTCGACAAGTTATTAAGAAAATTGGAATTCAGATTATGAAATATATTCGCAAAAGAATGTAATACCTAATATTTAATAATAAGCAAATGATGCGATGAGGCTGATGATGAAAACTTAGCATACTTTTTGGGCAAATTATCCCCTGTGAAAGTTTTTTATGTTGTGGACTCACCCTTCGCTTGCTACGCACATTCTCCGTTTGCCTGGGCGTGTACTCGCCAATTGTCTTGGAGCCCCACAGTTCGATGCCCACGCGCGAATAGGTGACCGTCATCGAGATAATGGGCAGAAAGTAGGTGAGTATTAGGATGAGAATATTGTATCTAAATGGAAGTCAGAGAATCACATAATGTCATCATAGATTAATGGAAAATAACCATTCCAAATTAGTCAAGGATTATATTTTTAGATTTTATTTTCCCATACTTCAAGTTTACGAACATGTTAAAGCCCCATTTACAATGAGCTTTAATTTGTCCCTTTTGAAACAATATATTTATTTATTTTATGTTTATCACAATCTACTGATGAGCAGTTTAATAAATTTATAACATCAATATAATATAAAAGTATATATGACTTCTAATCATACGGCCCATAAATGAATAGTATTAATAATTTTTTGGATTTTTACACTGATGATGGATAAACATACATCCAGATGAGGCTAATAAGACGTTTGATTATTATTATTATATTGTTACGTTGCACTGGTAAAGTGCCTTCAGTTCTCATCGTTATGTACACAATGTTCTCTCCATTTTTATTGGACTACTAGATCCTGGTTTAATGGTCTCGCGTGCCCGAATGCATTGAGGCGGGCAGTTACATTTTGATTACCCATATTTGCTTTCAAATTTGTCATGCCAAGCGGCTGTTAAAAGCTGCATATGTCTTTTATGTGGACAGCCCCTGGACAGTTGTTGATGTACTGCCACTTCTATAAGGTGCTAATAGGGTATGATGAACTCATAAATAACTTGGCCCGATTCTATATTCTATTCTATCTCAATTGAGAAAATTTACGCTTCAAGGTATGGTCTCTGGTAAATACTTTAAATTACTTTACATTACATTACATAATCTCACATTTTTCTACATAACTTAACATTACTTTACATTATTTTACATTACTTTCAGTTTATTATTATTATTAATAAATATAGCATATTATATAATGCTATATATTGCTTATCAGGATTGTAATACAAACGCTGAAGTTAATCAAGCAGGCCTTTCGTATACTCATAATACAGACTTATGAATTTATTTGATTTGTAAGCGCAGTATCTGCTAGTCGGATACTTCCGACTCTTATTCGTTTTTATGATTTTGGTTTAGTGACTTCTTTTATGACATAGATGCATTCCAACCCGAGTCCGACTCCGACTCCCCATGATAATCTGATAGCATAGATTGTCTCTGTCTCTGCATGCGCATCGCAGATTTTCCGATTTATGGCACGTTTATTTCAGCTTTTTTCCCGCTGACTGCATGCACACACACACACTCGCACACACACAAACACATTGATTTTCTCACTTACATGTGCTCCTGCTTGGAGTGATTCGTCTGTCCGTCGGGCCACTCGGGAAAGCAGACGATGCGTGTTTTGTTCTCCATGGTCACCGGCACCTTTGGGCATTGAAATAAAGCGTTCGCATATATTAAAGGGAACAGCAATTGGTTTATTTTCGAAAAGAGGAAAAAGGGACTACCTCCTCGGTCCTGAAAAAGAGCAGCATGGGGCAGGAGATGAGCGTCGAGGAGAGCCAGATGAGCGCGGCAATGGCCAAATTGCGTCGCTTGCTCATCCGCGGCTGCAACGGCTTCATAATTGCCACGTACCTGCAAGGACAAAGTGCCAAAGGACATGCCCACTATCATTATTAATGCAATCAAAGTGGCACACGATCACGCGAAAATCCGATTATTTCATACGCTCATCATTTCTGGACATGTCAATAAATTGTCAGTGCCAGAACCTTTCCAAAGTAGGTGAGGTTTGAGCCAGCACGATGGTTCAAATTTCTAAACTATACTAAAATTTATTGATATAATTGAATTAAATATATAGTGAGAATAATAAAAGAGCATTTAGGTGAGGTTTGAGCCAGCGCGATGGTTTGAATCTCAAAATGTAGGCCTCTAGCTTATAACAATATCCTATACTAATATTAATAAATATAATTAAACAAAAAATATGGCAAACATAATAGAGTATATGGAAATCGTATTTAACATTTAAGGCTGTTACCCTACCAACTCTAGTTTTTGGAGCACATTTTTGTTACTCGCCAAAAATAAATTTAGGTCTGCAAATTTTAGTTACGCGTCGGCGAAAACTGAACCCGGCTAAAAGCCTAGTTGACTAACATTTTGATTGCCAGCATTTTACTCTATTTAAGTTTATATAGTTTTTGTTTATAAGCTTATCTAGTTTTTTGTTACTCGCCAAAAATCAAATTAGGTCTGCAAATTTTAGTAACGCGTCAGCGAAAACTGAGCCTGGCTAAAAGCCTAGTTGACTCACATTTTGATTGGCAGCATTTTGCTCTATTTAAGTTCATATAGTTTTTGGCTGAAAAATTAGTTTATCAATGGGCATAATAATTATCGATGGAAAGTATATATATTTTTTGCATATATATTTTTTGCATATATATTTTGATGAATTTGACAGTCAAATCTTGTCAAAATTAATGAGCTGGCCAAAATATTTGAAGTTTGGATTTTAGCAAATCCCAGTTGGCTTTAAATGAGCCTTTCATTAATGGGGATGAATGATGGCCTACATTCATGTTTGTTACCCCTTGAGTTTGACATATCGAGCGACAGGCATATTCATAATATTAAATTGAGCAGTTTTTCTTCTTTTAACAAGATTGATAAGGGTAAAAAATCCCGCTGCCCCTCAAACCTGACCAGCGGGCCACGCACAGCTGCAATTTGTTAAGTATGTTACGATGTATGTAACGATGCATGTGTGTATATTGTGATGAAGTGCGGCACATTAACTCACTCACCTGTCGATTGATATGGCCATCAGAGTGAACACCGACGCACAGATACTCAGCATGGCAATAAATTGCGATACCTTGCAGTAGAACTCGCCAAATATCCAGTCGCTGTCCAGCATATAGTAATAGTTGAAGGTCACGTTCAGACTGGAGACCATCGCATCGGCTATGGAGAGGTTCACTGGGAAGAGTATACAAAAAGTGCGTTTATCAGAATAAGTTCTCCAAAAATGAAGCAAACAAAACTCGCGGCAAAGCTAACAAATGAAAATCCAAATGGCAAATATAGGAGAGACAAAAAATGTATCCCAACTCAAACATGAGAAATGATAGCTATGTTCAAAATAGCAGCTATGTTCAAGTTGCCGAAAACTGAATACCCTACCAAATAAATTTGCTATAATAGCTTAATGTTTGCTATATGACGAAGTTATGCGATACGTTTGGCCAACTGCCTAATATATATTCTATACCTAAACATTATTAGGTGGCTGTAATTCTAATAACTTACGAGATTTGCCCTCTCTAGAAGGGAATAGAAAAGTGACCAAACAGGCAGCAGTCCAATTTTTGTTGGTCATATGTACTTATTCTTGTTTGTTTATGCGTTGTAAATTTACAATTAGTGAAAAAAGCCAGCGCTACCGAATCTGCATGAAGTGGATGGGTCTGGGACTTGGGTTGGGACTGGGACAGGATCTGAGACTGGACTGCGCATAATTAAATGAAAGCTGCAAATGGAAAGGCGGCCATTTGTCTGTCTGCCTGTCTGTCTGTGTGTTGGCCACCATTTATTACTTTGCACATTTGTTATTGTATTTCGGTTTGTGAGTGTCTAACGATTTACATGCCAATGAATCACCAAAAACAATGCGGTCGTCACAGGGTGGGGGGAGGGGGGAGGGGGGCAACAGCAGCATAAAGACAAAAATTATTATGGGATGTCTTTTTGCCATTGTTTACTTTTCATTATCTATGTAGATAAGCAGGGCCAGAAATAAGCATAAAAAGCAACACTCGCAACAACGCCCTCACGTGACAACAACAACAACAAGTAAGAATTAGTCTGTCGGGTCCAACCGACTGCCCAATACTCGTCCAGCTTAATAAAAGTTTCAAACAGGTTATTAGATAAATAATTATAAAAACTCAATTCCGAAATTGGATATTATTTGGCCGAGATATTCCGAAAAAAACTATTCAAAAAAGGTTGACTTTACAAAAGAATCGTTTTGCGGGTGGAATTTCCCGAAACCCCGTATTAACGTGCACCTTCATCCCATAAGGTAGCTTTAGCGGTGTGGGCTGTGCGTTGATCAACAATCAGTCAGTTCGTTAATCAATAAGTTAGTTAGTCAATAAGTCAGTCAGTCAATCAACCAGTCAGTCAGTCAGTCAGTCAGTCAGTCAGTTCGTCAATCAGTATGTCAACACTTCAGTCAGTCATTCAGTCAGTCATTTAATCAGCAAGTCAGATAGTCAGCGAGTCAGTTAGTCAATAAGTCAGTCAGTTAGTCAGTCAATCAACCAGTCAGTCCGTCAATCAATCAGTCAGTCAATCATCCAGTCATGCAGTCAATCAGTCAATCAGGACAAACAGTTTTCTATATATAGAGATATGTGGTATAGACAGAATATATTTCATAATGTGTTACACCGCCTCACGAAGCGAACCAGCGAGTTGATTCAAACCCTATTCTGAATCACCAATACTTTCTTTGGAAGGCGCCTTCTTCTTTTTTAGGCCTCTTGTATATATCCCAAAAAAACAAAATCTCCAACGTGAATCCAACAAAAAGTCGCTGCAAGTGGACCAGCCCATCAGACTCTCTTCTCACTTTGTAGGCGAGCAAAAGGAATATTCCTCTTATTGCATTACACACTGTCTGTAGCACTGGCCACGCCCACAAACGTCCCTACTTTGGGCAAACGACCTGGCCAAGAAGCCAGGGCACGGCCAGAGCCTGTCAGTGCCACGTAGTTGATATCGATTGAGCATCGTCTTAATTAATCAAGACAGAATCACAATGCGATTGAACACAGACAGAAATAAGAATAAATATCATAAAGCTGGCATATTATCAGCTTGTATCCGGCTGGGCACTTTTCCCGAGCAGAGGGCAAACTTAACTTGGTAAACTAATAATAATAGGGCAGCGTGTATTTAGAAATGCAAATTTTTGTAATGGCTTCCAAAGCCGTTCGAGGCTTCAAGGCATTTAGTTTACATAATAATAATAATCATGGCGCTGAGATAACAGCTGCCCAGGCGGAGACTTGGCTGGCTTTGGACCCACCCGATGCCAGCAACAGCATCCGTTCCGCAGTAAGTTCACTTTCCAGCTAGGTCAGATGAACGGGGGAGAGGGTAGGTGCAAGGGGTGAGTCTCAGAAGCTATTGTGTCTGACAGTGCAACTAGTTTGAATTAAGATACCCTTTCCTAGAGTTATGTGGGGTCTACTGCCTGTTTTGCCTGCTTGTTAAGCATGCTGAAGATAACTATTTCATATCGATATTAACTTATTTACTAGATTATATCTATATATAAAATCTCTCAAACTGCCGTTTAACTTTAACTTTGACTTTTAAAAGTCACCAGCCACTGCAACCAGTGTTGGAAAGCAACAGTAATATAAGACATACTAGTGTATGGGATATAAATAGTAGAATATAAGATATAACTATATAAGATGAACTTTAAGATATTTAATGTACCCCACATATAATTAACATGCCTTGAAGGGTATTCAAACTTCGAAAAGGTCTCAACTTTCTTTTCTGATTGTCAACTTGCCTGCGGGCTTTGGCATGTGTGTGTGTATGACAATTGTCGGAAGGCAGTCAGCTGACAGCATCTGGCCAAGCTTATTGCTGTTGTTGTTGTGTGTTGCATTTTTATGCCCTTTGTTTTTAACGGTTTCGGCAAACCCAGCCGGACGGGTGGAAATGCGGACAGACATGCAAACATGCATACTTTCGCATGCAATATAAATGACTCGGCTGCAGGACAAAGAAAGGCAAGGCGCAGTACCAATCTTCCATTTAAAGACATTCGAAAGGAAAGAGCAATGTCTGAAATGTCATTGTTATTAGACAGGCAGAACGAGAGGGTGAGAGAGAGAGAGAGACAGACAGAGGGGGAGAGGGAGCAACAGAGAGGGAGAGAGCGAAACATTTCCATTAGGTGAACTTAGTCATAAATTATCTCTCAAAATGCAATTACGATTCAAATAAAATTTTGCGCAAACGAAGTTAAAAGGGCAAATGCTGTAACCTTCGCTTGGTTAGACTTCAGTATGTCAAATGAAGGAATATTAAAATTTGAATTGATTTAAGCTGGCAGGTATTACCCGGCTTTGCCCGACACAAGCATATTTTATCCAAATTAAGAACTGCATAACATTTCAAGAGCTCTTCAAATAAACAGTTAAAATTTATTTTTAATGAAAACTTAAAAGTGAAACCTTTGTCTAGTCAGCGTTGTGTATATGTAATGAAGGAATATTAGAGTTGAAATTAAGGTATTATCCGGATTTGTCCGACAAGATCATATTTTATACAAATTAAGAACCTTAGAGGGCTGCAAACTTAATTTGAATGAACTAAAAAGTGAAAACTTCGCTTTGTTAGTATTAACCGGCTTTGCGCGGAATAAGTTCATTTTATCCAAATTCATCTTTTTGGCTTATTTTCTGACCTTTGGAGAATCGTAGAGGGTTGCAAAACATTTTCAGCATTCTCCAAAGAAACAATTTAAACTTAATTTGAATGAAAACTTAAAAGTGAAACTTTTGGCTTAAACGCGCTTCGAATTTTCTACACTCATCAGTCACAAAACTTGACATATAGCTTCTAAATAGAATATATATATGCATTTGATGTTGGAAGAAGAGGGTTCAGGGTATCCCCTAGCCGGTATCTTCCGACTAGAACCTCTTACTTGTTTATAACGTCAAGTGTCTAATTTCAGAATACTCGTAATAAAGCTGCACGCTTGAGTGTAAGAAATATTAAATAAATACAATTCGAATATGGCAAAAGTATTAAAAGCCTCGAGGCCCTTGAAAACCACAAGCCACAAAAATCAATTGCTGCAGTTGAAGTGCAGCTCGTAGCTTATAAAGCAAATAATTTAATTAATTGTGCACTGGCACGTACCACGAATTTTCGGCTTTAATTGAGAGCATTTTGAAGGCTCAAGCAATTAGGGCAAAAACAAAAAAAAAAAAAAACAAACAAAAATAAAAACAAACAAAATCACAACAAATTGTTTGTTGAGGGCCAGCGTGGCGTAATTTATGGCTCATACGCCTAGTTCCCATGGCCACACGCTCACATAGGCACACACACACAGGCACACCCACGCAGGCAAACACACAGTGTATACTCACCTATAAAATAGTTGGTGACGGTGCGCATACGCTTGGTGGTCAGCACAATCCAGACGACAATTAGATTGCCGCCAGTTGCCACAATAACCATGCCGCCGAATAGAATGCTCCAGAGCACCTGGCGCCACCAGGGCACAACGAAGGCAAAGCTGGCCACGGGCGTTGCCGCATCCTCATCGACATCTGCAGCCGGAAGTCCTGTGATGCCCGTGGGCAAACTGTAAGGGAGAGAAAGGGACATTGGTAGAGAAAGGGAGAGAGAAAGGGTGGGCGTGTTGAGTTATAAAACAATGGTGAATTAGTGGCATGAAGATTATGTGCGTTAAGCCGAAACAAGTGGGTGACAAGTGTGTGTCCTGTTTAAGTCCTGTGTGTGTGTGCGTATACGGCATATTAGGCGCATGTAATTGTGCGTGCGTTAACAAAATCCTTGTCTGTTGTTATTCATAAAACCTCAGGCTCAGACTGGGTTACGACTCCCCTACGTTTATTTAGAGCGTGCATGTGTGTGTGAAAGTGTTTAAATAGGCACACACACATGCACACCAACACAAGCACACGCCTGGAAAGCCTGAGATTTGGGTGTCTGTCATGCCCTGAACTCATTAAAAAAAGGTAAAAAGAGATATAAGTTCTCGTCGATCTGAATAACTTAAATAGCCATAGATTGGAAATTGTCCGTCCAAGCTGGATGCCCGCCTTACAGAAGTGTCCGCTAGGAGAATTTGCATCAAATCAATTTATTTAACATTATTTGTTTGATAAGTTTCGTTTAAGTTTAGGGTATTCGCTAGTAGGTCGCACCCGACACCAAAAGGCTGCTACTTGTTTTGAGAATCTGCACAGGCTGTTGCTGGGCCTCGTCATCGCCTGTCAACGCTAATACGGCCGTAAATTGGGGCCCGGCTCGTTAGGAGCCCGGACATCAAGTAATTTAATATGCTGTGCCCCGTCTCTCTCTCTGTGTGTGTGTGTGTGTGTGTGCGTGCGTGAGTGTGCTGACATTTGAAGCCTGCTGAGCGTGGCTGCACCCCAGTTAGTCAGCTGTTAGTCATTAGCGGTTAGTCGGCCCTTCACAGCAATTAAAAGCATGTATTATGATCGCTTCGGCATACCCTGTACACAATTTGCATAAAACGTCTCCCTTTGTTGTTGAGAGGATTATTGATTTTTATGGACAGTGCAAAATGTAAAGAATACAAAAAAACTAAAAAGCCAACAATTTCGAGCAGCAGCCGCAGGCACACGAAAGAACGCTAAGTAAAAGGAAAAGCCTCGAGTGGAAAGTGCTGCACAAAAAGCTACCCTGTAAATGAGCAATTGTGTCTTATAAGAAGTCCATATATGTCAGGCTGACTGCAGATTCTTATAAGAAGTCGATAGATGTCCGACTGACAGCAGAGGGTATTTTTTTTAATATTCACTTCAGACTTATGCCAATATCTTTGGCTCATGTAGTTCCTCAGGCATATTTTATGCCTTACAGCGACGTCTTCCTCTACTTTATAGGCAACCTTTTCTGCCAATTTTAGGCGTGCCGGGAATAAAAATAAGAAAAAAATACAATTCGTGTTGTTAAATCTATTGTTGTTATTTTTCTTCAAGTTTTTTATTTTTTGCCTTTACTTGTTTTGATTTTTTGCATTAAGCACGGCAACGCGCCGGCAAGCCAAACAAATAAACATTCTAAAGAGGAAAAACATTGTGAAAACCGCAGGAGCAGAAGCCAAAAGCTGTTGCAAAAGATACTTTTACTTAAGGATGTCATCCAATATAGCTGAGGCAGAACCAAGACGATTTGTGGACTGTCAAAAAGTATTTTGCGAAAGTCAAACGCAGCAATTATCTGTTCGAGTGGAACAGTCCATATAACTCTGTATATTTATGTGTAGTGTGTGTGTTGGGGTGTGTGTGGTGTGTGTTGGGGTGTGTGGGTGTGTGTGTCGTTGGTAAACAAATTTTTGCTGCAGTAAGCCGACTGTCGTTAAAAATATATAAAATAAAAATATAAAAATAGAATAAACTCGACTAGAAAATGCCCTATGAGATTTTGAAATTTTCAAAATATGTTTATCTAATTTAGATAGAAATTTATAAATGAGAAAAATGAAAAAATATAAAAACAATATAATGTAAACAAATTGCAAAATAATTTGAATAATAATACTGAAATTGGTGCGAAACAGTTTTAGTGCGCATTTAAGAGGCTAAAAATTCGTCAAGCTTCGAATTCAAGTGTAGGCAATAGCACTGAGCTATCCGTTTAATTAATGTAAACTTTTTAAACTCAACTAGGGTTGGAAAGCAACAGTATATTAGATATAGTATATATATATGCTATATACAAGTATGCGTGTACTTTTTCTTAATATAAATAATAGTATATAGTAAATATATACTAGCATATATGTATTTTTATACCCTGAACCCATTAAAAATGGGTATAAGGGTATATTGTATTTGTGCAAAATCCAAATGTATGTAACAGGCAGAAGAAAGCATTTCCGACCCCATAAAGTATCAAAAGCCGAGTCGATCTAGCCATGTTCGTCTGTCTGTCCGTGCGCAGATAAAGTTTGCTTCCGATTTTCGATAACTTACTCCGTTTCCAAGCAATCGATGAAAATCGATATCGATATCCTGTTTTTTGGGCAATTTTAAATAATAAGAGCTAGAGTCCCCAAACTTGACATATAACTTCTAAAATAGAATATATATATGCATTTAATGTTGGAAGAAGGGGGTTCAGGGTATCCCCTAGCCGGGAGCTCCCGACTAGAATCTCTTACTTGTTTTGTAAATAGAAGTTGGGCACTCAAAAAAAAGGAAGAAGAGAACACAAGCTGATGTCGACTCATAAAATAATTTAAAAAAAAAAAGAGAAAAAAGAGAAAAAAATTAAAGAAAAAAAATAAAATAACGAATATATAATCTATTTGATAATAAAAAATATGTCCTACCCTTCCGCTGGGAATGCTTTAAGTGCGCGGCAGAAAACATAAAGAAGTCACGAGCAGCACACACACGCACACATTCAGGATTGTAGATAAATGCGGAATGTGTTTTGTATATATTTGTATTTGTATTTGTATTCCGCGTGGGCCATCAATGTAATGTATTTGAAACGGAAATAAAAGCCATGGCAAACGGAAATGCATGACTGATTGAAGTGAATGACGAATTGAAGTGAATGACTGATTGAGTGGGTGAGTGAATGACTGAATGATGCGTCATTAGATATGCATGGCCAGTACAGAAATCAGGAGGCGGAGGAGTAAGCTCATCAGCCCAAATCCTGAGCTGTCCTAATGCATCGCTCTAATGAGATGGCGGCATGTGTCGTGCATTAATTCAATTTGTATCATAATTAGACATTCGGACTGGACGCTTTTCTTTTTTTTTTCCTGCTGTCCCTCTGTGTACTTACACCCTGCTCAGATTGTAGGCCAGACTGGGTCCGTACTCGGAGGAAAGAGGGGTCTGATTGGCCAGGACGCTATTCATGGCATTATAGATCAGGACGGGGGCATAAGTGCTCCAGTTGCTCCATGTGTTGTCCAGCAGCTCTTCGTTGTTCTCCATGACCTGTCCAGCTCCGGTTGTTGTTGTTGTTATGGAATCCAGCATGATCTTTGGTAGAAAGAGGGGGGAGAGCGGGGGCTTGGACTCCCCTTTGTTTGCCCAGACTAATGTTGCGTGTCCTTATTTGGCTGGCATTTGTTTGCTGTGCGCCTGCAAAAACGACAAACGGATAGAATAATACATTTAACTAATTTCCTTTCTATTTCTTTTTTGTTTATTTTTAGCAGTGGGTCAAATAATTCATAGATGTTGTTCCCTTTGCAAAAATGGACACATTTTTTTTGTTATGCTCAAAAGTTTGCAATTTCATATTCGACTTTTGGCTGTGCTCAGATTGATTTTTTCATTTCTATTTGTCGCTGGGTCGGGCTCATTTGCGGCTTCTTTGACGATTTGAGGCCAGAAAAAAAGGTTTTTATTTTGCGGTTTGTTTTGGGTACTAAATAAAATGTATTTCCATACAAAGCGCTTTAATAGGATGCATATTAGGGCGCTTTTCAAATGTAAATAGGGCTGCCTTTATTTAGCAAATACTAGTAAGAGTTTGCTAGTCGGGCGTGCCCATTCAGGAGATACCCTAAACAAAAACCATATGATCTTTATTAAATAACTTCGGTGTTTATAGTCCGATTTTCTTTTCATTTTCGGGGCTTAAATCTGGAAATATGACCTTCCATATTTTCAAAATCGAGTTCGGTGCGAAAATTTTCCGAAACTTTTCCGATGATTTTTTTTTAATATCTCGGGTAACAGCTCCGCGGAGATATGACGTTCCAAAACGACAGAACTCCCAGCGGAGATATGACGTTCCAAAACGACATAACTCCCCGCGGAGATATGACGTTCCAAAACGACAGAACTCCCCCCGGAGATATGACGTTCCAAAACGACAGAACTCCCCGCGGAGATATGACGTTCCAAAACGAGAGAACTCCCCGCGGAGATATGACGTTCCAAAACGACAGAACTCCGCGCGGAGATATGACGTTCCAAAACGACAGAACTCCCCGCGTAGATATGACGTTCCAAAACGACAGAACTCCGCGCGGAGATATGACGTTCCGAAACGACAGAACTCCCCGCGGAGATATGACGTTCCAAAACGAGAGAACTCCCCGCGGAGATATGACGTTCGAAAATGACAGAACTCCGCGCGGAGATATGATGATCCAAAACGACAGAGCTCCCCGCGGAGATATGACGTTCCAAAACGACAGAACTCCCTGCGAAGATATGACGTTCCAAAACGACAGAACTCCGCGCGGAGATATGACGTTCCAAAACGAAAGAACTCCCCGCGGAGATATGACGTTCCAAAACGACAGAACTCCCCGCGGAGATATGACGTTCCAAAACGACAGAACTCCCCGCGGAGATATGACGTTACAAATCGACAGTACTCCGCGCGGAGATATGACGTTCCAAAACGACAGAACTCCCCGCGGAGATATGACGTTCCAAAACGACAGAACTCCCCGCGGAGATATGACGTTCCAAAACGACAGAACTCCCCGCGGAGATATGACGTTCCAAAACGACAGAACTCCCCGCGGAGATATGACGTTCCAAAACGACACAGCTCCCCGCGGAGATATGACGTTTCTAAACGACAGAACTCCCCGCGGAGACGTTCCAAAACGACAGAACTCCCCGCGGAGATATGACGTTCCAAAACGACAGAACTCCCCGCGGAGATATGACGTTCCAAAACGACAGAACTCCCCGCGGAGATATGACGTTCCAAAACGACAGAACTCCCCGCGGAGACGTTCCAAAACGACAGAACTCCCCGCGGAGACGTTCCAAAACGACAGAACTCCCCGCGGAGATATGACGTTCCAAAACGACAGAACTCCCCGCGGAGATATGACGTTCCAAAACGACAGAACTCCCCGCGGAGATATGACGTTCCAAAACGACACAGCTCCCCGCGGAGATATGACGTTTCTAAACGACAGAACTCCCCGCGGAGACGTTCCAAAACGACAGAACTCCCCGCGGAGATATGACGTTCCAAAACGACAGAACTCCCCGCGGAGATATGACGTTCCAAAACGACAGAACTCCGCGCGGAGATATGACGATCCAAAACGACAGAACTCCCCGCGGAGATATGAAGTTTCAAAACGACAGAACTCCCCGCGGAGATATGACGTTCCAAAACGACAGAACTCCGCGCGGAGATATGACGTTCCAAAACGACAGAACTCCCCGCGGAGATATGACGTTCCAAAACGACAGAACTCCCCGCGGAGATATGACGTTCCAAAACGACAGAACTCCGCGCAGAGATATGACGTTCCAAAACGACAGAACTCCCCGCGAAGATATGACGTTCCAAAGCGACAGAGCTCCCCGCGGAGATATGACGTTCCAAAACGACAGGCCTCCGCGCGGAGATATGACGTTCTAAAACGACAGAACTCCCCGCGGAGATATGACGATCCAAAACGACAGAACTCCCCGCGGAGATATGACGTTCCAAAACGAGAGAACTCCCCGCGGAAATATGACGTTCCAAAACGACAGAACTCCCCGCGGAGATATGACGTTCCAAAACGACAGAACTCCCCGCGGAGATATGACGTTCCATAACGACAGAACTCCCCGCGGAAATATGACGTTCCAAAACGACAGAACTCCGCGCGGAGATATGACGTTCCAAAACGACAGAGCTCCCCGCGGAGATATGACGTTCCAAAACGACAGAACTCCCCGCGGAGATATGACGTTCCAAAACGACAGAACTCCCCGCGGAGATATGACGTTCCAAAACGACAGAACTCCCCGCGGAGATATGACGTTCCAAAACGACAGAACTCCCCGCGGAGATATGACGTTCCAAAACGACAGAACTCCCCGCGGAGATATGACGTTCCAAAACGACACAGCTCCCCGCGGAGATATGACGTTTCTAAACGACTGAACTCCCCGCGGAGACGTTCCAAAACGACAGAACTCCCCGCGGAGATATGACGTTCCAAAACGACAGAACTCCCCGCGGAGATATGACGTTCCAAAACGACAGAACTCCCCGCGGAGATATGACGTTCCAAAACGACAGAACTCCCCGCGGAGACGTTCCAAAACGACAGAACTCCCCGCGGAGATATGACGTTCCAAAACGACAGAACTCCGCGCGGAGATATGACGATCCAAAACGACAGAACTCCCCGCGGAGATATGAAGTTTCAAAACGACAGAACTCCCCGCGGAGATATGACGTTCCAAAACGACAGAACTCCGCGCGGAGATATGACGTTCCAAAACGACAGAACTCCCCGCGGAGATATGACGTTCCAAAACGACAGAACAACCAGCGGAGATATGACGTTACAAAACGACAGTACTCCGCGCGGAGATATGACGTTCCAAAACGACAAAACTCCCCGCGGAGATATGACGTTCCAAAACGAAAGAACTCCGCGCGGAGATATGACCTTCCATTTTTTTTCAAAATCGAGGTCGGTGCGAAAATCGAAACTTTTTCGATGTTTTTTTTTTAATATCACGGGTAATAGCTCCGCGGAGATATGACGTTCTAAAACGACAGAACTCCCCGCGGAGATATGACGTTCCAAATCGACAGAATTCCGCGCGGAGATATGACGTTCCAAAACGACAGAACTCCCCGCGGAGATATGACGTTCCAAAACGACAGAACTCCCCGCGGAGATATGACGTTCCAAAACGACAGAAATCCCCGCGGAGATATGACGTTCCAAGACGACAGAAATCCCCGCGGAGATATGACGATCCAAAACGACAGAACTCCCCGCGGAGATATGACGTTTCAAAACGACAGAACTCCCCGCGGAGATATGACGTTCCAAAACGACAGAACTCCGCGCGGAGATATGACGTTCCAAAACGACAGAACTCCCCGCGGAGATATGACGTTCCAAAACGACAGAACTCCCCGCGGAGATATGTCGTTCCAAAACGACAGAAATCCCCGCGGAGATATGACGATCCAAAACGACAGAACTCCCCGCGGAGATATGACGTTCCAAAACGAAAGAACAACCAGCGGAGATATGACGTTACAAAACGACAGTACTCCGCGCGGAGATATGACGTTCCAAAACGACAAAACTCCCCGCGGAGATATGACGTTCCAAAACGAAAGAACTCCGCGCGGAGATATGACCTTCCATTTTTTTCAAAATCGAGGTCGGTGCGAAAATCGAAACTTTTTCGATGATTTTTTTTTAATATCACGGGTAATAGCTCCGCGGAGATATGACGTTCAAAACGACAGAACTCCCCGCGGAGATATGACGTTCCAAATCGACAGAACTCCGCGCGGAGATATGACGTTCCAAAACGACAGAACTCCCCGCGGAGATATGACGTTCCAAAACGACAGAACTCCCCGCGGAGATATGTCGTTCCAAAACGACAGAAATCCCCGCGGAGATATGACGATCCAAAACGACAGAACTCCCCGCGGAGATATGACGTTCCAAAACGACAGAACAACCAGCGGAGATATGACGTTACAAAACGACAGTACTCCGCGCGGAGATATGACGTTCCAAAACGACAAAACTCCCCGCGGAGATATGACGTTCCAAAACGAAAGAACTCCGCGCAGAGATATGACCTTCCATTTTTTTCAAAATCGAGGTCGGTGCGAAAATCGAAACTCTTTCGATGATTTTTTTTTAATATCACGGGTAATAGCTCCGCGGAGATATGACGTTCCAAAACGATAGAACTCCCCGCGGAGATATGACGTTCCAAAACGAAAGAACTCCCCGCGGAGACATGACGTTCCAAAACGACAGAACTCCCCACGGAGATATGACGTTCCAAAACAACAGAACTCCGCGCGGAGATATGACGTTCGAAAACGACAGAACTCCCCGCGGAGATATGACGTTCCAAAACGACAGAACTCCCCGCGGAGATATGACGTTCCAAAACGACAGAACTCCCCGCGGAGATATGACGTTCCAAAACGACAGAACTCCCCGCGGAGATATGACGTTCCAAAACGACAGAACTCCCCGCGGAGATATGACGTTCCAAAACGACAGAACTCCGCGTGGAGATATGACGTTCCAAAACGACAGAACTCCCCGCGGAGATATGACGTTTCTAAACGACTGAACTCCCCGCGGAGACGTTCCAAAACGACAGAACTC